AGAGACCAATGAGAAGCACGCGTTGTACAGAAAGCGTGCTTCTCATTGGTCTATCTAGTTAGTAGTTCAATGTCCACTTTCCAGAGGCGCTGAAACCAGCACATCGCCGGTCCCAGCTAAATCGCAGGCATGGCCGCTCTCAGGTATAACATATTTTGACATCTAAGCAAGTATTTAGCATATGTGATATGTTGAATATAAAGTGAAAAAGTAATATAACAAATTTATACGATATTTAGAATTATTCGTTTAAAAAGAAGATAACTATTCTTCAGGCGATGTCTTCTAAAATTAAATTATCAGTTATTATACATATCTAGATAGGATGGGTTCGAAAAGTGTCTAACTTCAGACGTGAGGGCACACTTCATCAAGTGTACCAGCTGCACCACATCTAGAAAAATCGAAACGCCATCCACACTGTGTATCGAAAGCTTTGTTTGAGACAACTTCATGGTATTTCTGCGTTTCTCTACTCTTGTTCGCGAAGGTGTGCTTGCTTTCTGATCGAGAGACAAAAACGGTTTACTTTGGGCCATTAAAATCGATTGACAAGTGCAATTAGCGATTAACGTGCAACGAACAGGAGCCATTTTTGGTAAGTTCCAAAGACGACTTGTAACAAGTGCCATGCAATCGTGAAATCAGTTGTCGCATAGTTACATGCTTCTGTCCATTTTTTGACCACGAACTTTTTCCGTTTCCACGTATTTACAGCCTCTGGGCACGAATAAACTTTTGAAGAAAAATGTTTTATACAAACGAATCGAACGTTACGAGCGACTAATGCTAAGCTAAATGAGTTAGATGTGTGATTTGTGCCGAAGGTATTCATTGTACATTTGTATCATTTGCATCTCTGAATGTCTCGGCGTAAAATTTAATAAGCGTTAACAAACGAAACGAGTACATTTTCAAATAAAACGCGCTCTTATTGTCATAGTAAACTATTAAAATAACGTAATGTAGTCAAACTTAATTTCACTCTTATTATTAATAAGTTTATCACACGCTGAACTATCCAAAGAACATCTATCTACCATGGATGGATATTTCCATTTTCCACTTGTAATATTATCAGTGTAACGACGATGACATTGATTTATACAATGAGAGCCTTCCTGTATCAAATTTTGTTCCACAAAAGAAATCTATACGCAATGCGTTCTCTCGGATTCATATTTTTTTCTGAATGAGAATACTTGAGCTAATATGAGTTGGAATACATACCTATATCCAAATATAATATTCAGAATGTAATATTGTTCACAGATATATTTGCAGTATATATATAGCATTAATGGTTTTCAATCATAACTCAAGTTTATCTCTGTAAATGCTGATCACTTTTTTACTTGATTTACTGTTTACAAGTCTAACCTTGTGACTCGTGACAAACATTATGGTGCAAAATATAGACTAGACAAAAAAAATAATAATATTAAATAGATTGCATCATATTGGGTAAAAAGCAGACTGAACAAAATTCATTTAATGAATCATTTATTATTATGATTGTATATTAATAATAAAACATTTAATACGACATTTTGAAATATCACAGATTTAATATATAAGTCTATATTAATAATTTGTATAATATAGGGGCGAGTTCAGGAATTCACGGTATATCATCTTATCCTTGTTATTGATGGAATATTAAATAAGAATAAAATAATATCTACATGCACCTGGGCAAAATTTCTGAATGTAGCCTAGACTTATTAGACTGACATATTTGTAAATATATCGGATTAAAACTTTTATCCATTGTGAATTATATTTAGAACAAGGTGAAAATAAGTCCATTGTTTTTTCTCAATAAATTATTTTATTTCTGTTTTATGTGAAAAGTAGGATCTGATATAATTGCCAGTCTAAAACAAATCTTAAGAAATTCAAAGTATTTTACTTAAAATAAAAACAATTTATTCTTCCCAATTGTTAGATTTTATAAAATAGCATACCGAGAAGCTGAAACTTTTTAATTTACTCTCAGTTAATCACATCTACTCTTACTAGAACATAAATCAATATTGAAATAATTATTTCGTGTAAAACATAAGTCTATTTTCCTTCCATGCGAGAGTGCGATCAAAGTATTAACATATACAGGGTGTCTCAAAATTGGCGAATTAGGAGTACAAGACATGATACTTTGTGCTAAAAGGAACTTTTTCCTTTAGCAAATTTTGATCTGACAAGTAATTTTGGGAGGAGAGCTGGTTAAAGTTAACGAATAATTGCTCTTGTGTGGCGCTCAGGGCCAGCGTGCGCTCCTCCACTTGTTCCTTGGCTAATATTTACAAGTAATGTCTTAAGATACTAATACAGCTCTGTTATAATTAGTTTATGACATTTTAAGACAGTCTTAAATATTAAGAATCAATTATAAATATTTTTTATTACTTGAAATATGAATAGTTAATAAAATAAATATTGATTAAAAAAAATAAAATTAAATAAATATTGATAAATGATATCACTGAACTTAAATAGTTTACTAATTATTAAATAACTCCTCAAGTGCTGAAAAATTGCTTTATTGTGTAACAGTGATTAAAAGTAAAGTAAAATATTTAAGATATTTTAAGAGCTAATTCTCTCTTTATTTTTTTGCAATGAAAAATGCAAAAAACTTGTCATTTTAAAACTGTACTTAAGACAGTCTTAAGTATAAGACTATGTTTTTCACTATTCCGGTTATTTCCAATATTGCTGAAAAATTCACAAAATTTTTAAGAATATCTCTGTTTGTAAATTGTGGGTATTAATAAATTGAGCAGATTCATTAGTACATAAAGATCCTCTTCATTATCACATCGAATCATATCATAGAAGAACTTTATTTGTGGAGTCTTATTGTAATTTTTCTTATTTATTAATTTTACGTATAAGAATCAAATATGAATATTGGGCCTTTTTTTATTATTATGTTTTAATTATAATATTTTATTGCTTAAAATATGAACAGTTAATAAAATAAATATTGATTTGGAGGAAAATCAACTTATGAAAGTGAAAATAGAAACTTTACCCTTTAAAATAACTCTACGAAGATTATTGTACTTTTTTTTACAAAATTATGACAGTTTAAAGATTGACAATTTTTCTGCAAAAATTTAGTAATCTCTTAATTTTGCTGTTGACAACGAGTGTATCATTAAAACTTGAGA